CCGCTGTGTGATCTCTAGTCAGCGATTACTTTGATGAACCATTTGGGTCCAGGTGCCACTGATCATGCTGCCTCCCCTATTTGGGCACCGGCTTCCAAATGGGATTGGCCTTGCCCACTTGTACCCCACCCCCAGTGTGAGTGCTAAACTGAGGTTTGGCGGAGCCTGTGGGATTTAACATGGAGATTTTGTTGGAGGCATCTTGGCATTTAATTAAGGGAGGCTCTAAGTCAAGCAGCTGTGGATTGGAATCTCGCCTGGGCTGGTGACCTTGGGTGAGTGTCTCCCCTGTAAAATGATGATAATGATGCGTGCTGGCAAGGGCGGTGGGAGGATTAAGTGCGATTAAGGGGGCCGTCCTCCCAAGCAGGCCTCACACTAGTTGGTCTCCATTGTGATCATGATTATTGCCGGGAGTGGCTGCAGGGGGTGGGGGCTGGGCTGTCTCCAAGAGCTCCTCCCTGCCAGCCCACCTCCTGAAGCACGTGGCAAAGCCTCCGGGCAAAGGGGAAAACTGAACTGGCTTTCCTCAGGAAGGCAGCCACTGCGTTTTCCTCCTGTGCAAGTTGGCCTAATGGTAGAGGCCTGCCTGCAGCTCCACGGGCTGTTCATGATGGGCTCATGATTTGGGGTCACCCACCCATGGCTGGACTAAGTGACTTGGCCAAGGTCACGAAGCCACCACCAGTAGAGCCAGGATGGGGCTCCAGGTGTCTTGACTTCAGCCCAGCGCCTGTGCACCCTCTGGCCCCAGCTGTCTGGGTTATTTCGGGCTCCCTCCTGTGCCAGCTGTCTGCTGGCATCACCGTCCAGGAGCTGTCTGGTTGGAAGTAACCAGCGTGGCTCCTCCTGTCTGCCCTCCCCGTGAAGTCCACAGCCAGACCTCCAATCCTAGAAGAGCTGCTCTTCGTCTCTCTCCTTTGCTGGGAGGGAGGGAGGACTGCATCCCACCACCCCCGCCCAAGTGAAGGGAGAGGGTAAAGCGCTTGTGAGAGTTGATGAGGTTCACATTGTTAATATCCATCCCATAAGCCTCTTCTCTCCCTCCAGATTCCCCCCAAACCTGAGTTTTAAGTTTGGCTCTGCCATTGATAAGCCCGTCATATCCCCTCGATCCTCACATGGCCAATCTGCTGTCTCAGGGTGTCCTGACCTCCCTTTGGTTAGAGTCCTTGAGGCTCCTTTGGCTGGGGTCTTTACCTCCCAGTACTGGCAGCATTGGATGGTTCTAGCAATTGATTTAAGTCTTTCCCTCCCAGCTGCACCCTGGAAGGCTATAGCCAGTGTCTCCATTCCTGCCCTGGAACCAATTAGGGAGCAATTAGGTGCTAAACTGTGGTATGTGTGTGATTCTTGGAAGGGAGTGTGTCCCAGACCAACCTGGAAGGGCTGTACTCCTCTCCCTGCTTTCACCTTCCTTTTCTTTCTAACTTGCCCTCCCCACCCACCAGTATCACCTTCTGGGGCAGTCTGTCCCTTTTGTCCCTCTTGTCCCTGTGAAGGGCGACCGCCCCCGGTCACCCAGCGAGCGCAGGGCGGGGCTACTCTTGGCTCCCGGCTGTTGGGGCCTGTGGAGAGAGGGCCACGCCAGCGGAAAGGCGGCCCAGGCTGGGAGGTGGCTGGACTTGCCCTACTGCTGCGCCGCCAGTGTCCCCGCCTCTTCCGGCCCCTCCACCAGGAGCCGTAGCGTGGAATATGACCTATTGGACCCTCTGGGTGGATAGGCATCTCAGGTCACCTGGGTCTAGTGTAGTCTCCAGCGGGTCTGTGACCTACAGCAAGTTCCTACCCATGTGAACTGGGAGGAGGAAGTTGGATGATAACCTTTTGAGCTGTTTTTGAGTCTGGAGGGGAGCTTTTTGGATTCAGAAGTGACCTCCCATCCCCAGCCTTCCCCTGGAGGGAGTCCTCAGGCAGGGGTCGATAGAAAGCCTTGGTACTCCCTAGCCCACCGTTGCTTGGCCACCTCCACCTCTGTCATCTCAGAATAGCTTCATCTCTTAAGACTCGGTATCTTCTGCCTCATGAGGCTAGGGGGGCCTCTGGGGGTGTTCTAAGGTCCCCAGGGAAGTGGAAGCCAGAAACACTGTCATTGGCCTCCCCTTCCTAACCTGGGCTGACAAGACAGAAGTAGAAGGGCCTCTGCTTCTCTCCTGGGCTGTTTCCCTGTTGTCCTCACTAGCATAGGCCTCAGTATGAAAACCAATGAGTTCACTACACAAATGCCACCTGGCAGCTCCCCTAGTTTTCTATGTCCCAACAGCTTTTGTGGCAAGAACCAGCTTAAAGAGTCTTTCTTGCCCTCTTAAAACCTTCCAGGACTTCCTGGAGAATAGGAGACTGGCATGGCTCCTCAGAACATTTTGCAGGTAAAGGTGCAGGCCTTCTGGGTGGGGGGCTGTGGTGCTCAGGTCTAAAGCTGGACCAGCCCAGCCTCCTGTGAGGACACTCAGAGCAGCTGGCTTGGCTCCTGGGTATTTTTAGCTACAGGTCCAGCCCCACCATCACCACAAGAGCTGTGTCCAAATCGAACTCCTGGCCAGGCAGTGGTGGGTGGGCAGGCTGGGCAGTGTGTCAGCTGTTCTGCCTGGACTTAGGCTAAGACTCAATTTTGCTCATTTCCTCCTTCTCAGTCTTGTGTAAACTTCTCTCGTAAGTAGACTCGTGACCCTGTTTCTCCTATGGACAAACTAGGGACTGAGGTCTGAGGATTTTGAGAAAGTCAGGAGCCCTCCTATGGGCTCATGTGGTACACCAGGTTTTTGGTGACCCTTGTAAGTGAATTTTCCTCAGGCCTCTTGCCTCCCTTCCTCTCTTCCTTTCTCAGTCCTTTCCTGTGCTTCAGGGGTCCAGATGCAGGGACAGGCCTGAGGCAGCCAGAGGGAAGGAGCCTGGCTGCGGCTAGCTGCAGAGGTAAGTGGCCCTCAACCCACCCCAAGCCTCCGTCCTCCCTCTCCCTGAGTCACTGATGCTCCACTCTAGCTCTACCTCCTCCCCCTCCCTGACGTCCTGGGGAACCTCAATTCTGATATGTCTCTGGATCCGGTCCCCTCCTGCTGCCACTGAAAGGTGACTTCTCCCTGGTCACTCTCACAAGAGAGCTCAGGGCCTGGTTTTGGCTGAGCTCCTCTCTTGTTCTGGAGTCTTCTGCCCAGCACCCAACTTGAGCCAGTCGGGTCCTCCATGATTAAACCCTAGTTACCTTGACAACTGTGTCTGGCCTCCCTCCTTGGTCCCCAGCCACTGCAGAACCTGAAGGGGGTTTTCTAACATCCATGCATTTGCCCAGGCTGGGTGCCCATCCTCATTCCACTGGTCTCCCCTCCAACACTGCCAAATTTAGCTCATGTGCCAGCCAGCTCTCAACCTTCCCTGGGGCTCAGGTCTGTAAATTGTTAGCATCTCCCAAACTCCATTAGACTGCTTCCTCCACGACTGTCAGCTCCTTGCAGGCAGGAACACAATTGCCTCTCAATAAACGTTTTGCAAAAGTGGATGAGTTGCTGTGAATTTGTCTAGCGGGTGCTTGACCCAGAAGATCCCCCTCTGTTTAGTGACGGGCTTCCACCTAACAACCTGGGGTGGGTCCTAGCCTCCCCTTGCCAGCTCTGGCGTTTGGGGCTTCCATGGGCAGTCGCTGCTGCCCCCTGGTGGTCATACCTTTCCTTGCATCCGCTGAAAACCTTGACCCGGCTTTGATGGAAATGCCAGGTTGGTTTCCTCCACGAAGTGAAGTTTAGCTGACCTTTGCTGAGAACTTGAAAATTGGGGGCCTTTGGAGTAAGGTTGGGGGCAAGAAGATACTGAATGCTGCCAGCCCCTTTCTGAGGAAAGTGAGGCATTTGTCCCCAATCAGGCTGCTGACAGGGTTTTGTTAACAAATGGGCTCTATCGACCCCAGTCACGAGGAATTCACTCTGGCTTGGCCGGGCCCCAGTACCTACCTTCCGTGGACAGACTCCAGGGGGCCACAGGTGATTTCAACCAACTGATGGTACGTGCACATAATATGTGCTCAACAAATGGCTGTTTTGATCAGGGGGTGGGAAGATTCCTGGGAGGAAAGATATGTGGCCGCCGGTAGGACACTTCGCTAAATTTCTTGGTGGGGGTTATCAGTCTTTCTAAAGTGCACGGAGGAGGCCCAGCTGATCTCAACTATATCTGCCCCCTCCCCAACGGCGTTTTCCTCGGTTCATGCCTCTGACCTGTGCTGGAAGGAGGAGCCTGCTCACGTGGTTTTGGGCCAACCCTCGAAAGCCGGTCACCTGCGCTCTGAGCGGCCAGCGCCGAGGCGATCGCCCAGCAGAGGGCGCCAGACGTCCGCCCTGTGGCCCTAGAGAGGTAGGGGTGGGGGGCAGGTAAGCGGAACCCAATTCCCCGCCGCTAACCCGCGCGCGCACACAGGCGCTCGGAGGGCCAGACTAGGTGGGCAGACACAACCTCCGTGCCATCATCTTCCCTGGCACCACCGCTGCTACTCTTGTGGGGAAACTAAGGCCAGAGGCGGACTTGCCCCAGGCTACAAAGTTGGGGACTTTTCCCAGAGCTTGAGACCTGAGCTCCTCGAACCCGGGTACTAAAGGGACAACCCGCCAATCAAAGAGTCCCTGTCGAGGGAGGCCGAGTGGCCAATCGGAGGGTCTTTGCCAGGAGGCGGAGCCTGCCAATCAGGGGCGCCCGGAATGGAGCGGCGGAAACCAACCTGTCTTGCCCGCGGGGGGCGCACCGTGACGCGCGAGGGCGGGGGTGGGAGCTGCGCTTGCGGCTGAGCACCCCGTTTCCCAGCCGCTTCAGTTTCCTCGGGACTGAGAGGCAACACCCAGGTCTGGGATCCTAGCAGAAAGGACACGGAGGCTGGGGGATCCGCCTGGTAGGCTGCCTGGCGGAGGTGGCGCCGGCTCCAAGGGGGCGGGGCATCCCTTAGCCCCTCCCTTTCCCCCCCCGCCCCCCCGGCCCCGGGAGCTCAGCCGCGGTTTTCGGCCCCTGGCACTGCCGCCAGTGCTGCTGGCTCCTAGCGATGGACACCCCCGGGGTCCCCGCCCCTGCCGCCGCCCGGGGCCCGGGCCCGGGCAGGAAGGAGTTGAAGATCGTAATCGTGGGCGACGGCGGCTGCGGCAAGACTTCGCTGCTCATGGTGTACAGCCAGGGCTCCTTCCCCGAGGTGAGGCCCGCTGCGGGGCTGAGGGGGTCGGCCGGGGGCGGGGATGGGCTTGGGACCGCTGGAGGCGAGAGACATCTCTCAGCCTGAGCCCCAAGCCGGGTCCCAGGGGTCCCCCGCGCCCTGAGCACGGACAGGCGGCTACCACCCTTGGGCGCCCCCTCAGGAATTCCAGAACCCAATGGGCTGAGGGAGGCTGAGCCAGGTGGGGTGACGGTGGTGGTGAGCAGTGGATCCTGGTTCCCCACCGCACCTCTTGGGGACCAACCTGACCTCTTCTCCCACAGCACTACGCCCCATCGGTGTTCGAGAAGTACACGGCTAGCGTGACGGTGGGCAGCAAGGAAGTGATCCTGAACCTCTACGACACGGCCGGTGGGTGTGTCTGCGCGCGAGGGTCCTGGGGTTTTCCCCGCCCGCCGATCTCTGGGGCCCAGATGTCCCATCACGAGCCTGGAGGCTGCGCAGGGGTGCCTGCTGGGAGTCTGTTGACCACCAGCTGGCTAGGTGGCCCTGGAGATCAGGAGGGCCTCGCTCGCCCCATCTGCAAATGGAGGGTGTTTGGACGTGGTGGACTCCTGGGCAACCTGCCCAGCTGATGTGCTGAGGGCCTGTGCTTGTTCCTCTCCTGTGGTTCTAGAAAACCGTGGGCTGCCTCCCATGGTTCCAGGATTTTGTGTGTTACATGCTTTGGTCTCTAAAAATTCCGTGGGCTGCAGATTTGAGTCCCCTGGTGCTAGGATTACATGGGCTGTGTTCCTGGGTCCTAGGATATTCCATGCTATAGATCAGAGCCTGTGGCTCTAAGATTCCACGGCCTGCAGTTCTCTGCCTTGAGGCTCGAGGGTCCTGTGGACTCACATTCTGTGTCCCCAGCTTCTGGGATTCCGTGGACTGCATTTTGTGGTGCCTGAATTCTGTGGCTACAGTTAGTTCTGTGCTTTCCTGGTTCCCTGGAAAAAACCAGACAGCTTTAGAAATGAACTAAGGAACAGGACTCTGGAGAGCATAGTTCCAAGACAAGGTTCCACCTGCCACCAGCAGCTCCTCACATAAGTGGGTTTATGGATTTATGCTGATTGCGTCCGAGTCATCAGAGTCAGTGTTATGGGTGTGGGAGTGGGAGAAACAATCAGTAGGAAGCCCCTTGCTCACTTCTGGGCTTCATTAACATTGGAGAGCAAAGGTTGGAATCCCTAGGTGGGGCCTCACTCAGCCTCTGTGACTCAGTGTTTAGTGGCCTGCCTGGAACCGTGTCATCGGGTGTCCCATCCCCTGCCAGCCAACCTTGTATGTATGAGCTGAAGTCTCTGATTGACTTCGGATGGAGCCAAAACTCCAGATGTCCCCCTCTCCCACCTCCTGCATACCCTGGAGAGGATCAGAAAAGGTGCTGTCCCAGCCCCAAGCCTCTCCTTTCCCACTCTAGAAGGCTTTGCTGTATGAGTGCCTGTCCCTACAGTGGCCTCTGAGAGCCCCCCTTGTTGGATGAGGGGCCTGCAGGGCCACCCCAGAACAGAGCCATGCTGCCAGCCCCGGTGAGCTGGGAAAGCCAAAGGCGTGGCCCTGAGGATAGTAAAAGTGGTGGTATGTCTGGGACACTTTTATTTTCACGTTTCTTGTCCATGAGCCAGGGAGGGACAGTGTCATTAACACCTTTCTGGGTGGAGTGCTGGTGGGGCGGAGGTGTTGCGCAGCAATCCCAGGCCCTGGGGGAGTGTAGGGAGTCTTCTCCTCCCTCTGCCCTCAGGGCCTCTCCCAACAGGTCCCCAGGGTTAGCTGTTCAGGGCAGTCTTCCCCATCAGACCAAGAGTGGGGACCACTTCTGGCCTTTCTGGCCTCAACCAGAGAAAGATGCTCAAAGAACCTGTCAGAGTAGATTGTCTTGTGCAGGTTCCAGAAAGGTGCTGCTGGAGTCAGGAAGAATTTGTGCTGAGAGGTATGCTGCTGGAGGGACAGAGGGAGCTCCCATTGCCAGGGCCATCAGAAGTGTGTGACAGCTTGTACGGCTAAGGTCCTATCCACAACTTCCTGCCACCTACTTTGGAGTCAGATCTGGGATTTGACTCAGGTGCCACTGGCTGTGTATCATCGGGACATTTGAGCTGTAGTTTCCTCATCTGTCATCCGGACTAAAATAGTTGTGAGGATTAGATAAGATTAACATGACGTACAGCATTTAGCACAGGAGCTGGCTCTCACAAAGTGCTTGTTAAGTGTGGTCACTGTGATTTTTTAAAAGCCTCCCACCATTCAGGTGCAGGCCTAGCCTAAGCCTGTTCTTTGGAGCCATGGTCCACAGCGTTCTGTGTTGGCCCACAGCCCCTACTACAGGGGAGACAGCCATCTTTCCCAGTAGGACTCTTCCAAGCAGCAGAAAAGCAGTTCTGGGGTTTGAGCTCCTCAGTGAGGACTGGGGGGAGTAGGATGGCCTCACAGTCAGCACAGGGGAACAAGGAGTGGGGAAGAAATCTGGCTGTTCCCTCAAGGGTGTCCACTGTGACAGGGGAGGCCGTGCTGGTGGGAGGAAATTCCCTGGTCAGGGAACAATGTAAGTGAGAGACTGGGTCATTCCTCTTACATACACACGGTGCCCAGCACAGAGCCCGTCCTAAAGCAATGCTGGAGAAATGACTGAAATGAATGAATAATAAATCTGAATGGGGGAGACCTGTGAGGGGGACGGATATTAGGAGAGCACAGCAGAAAAGGACGGCCAGGTGATGATGGTAACCAACTAAAGGAAAATAGAGTTTAAGGAGGGGAGGGGAGTGGCTGAACTGGAGATGAGTCTAGTAAAGGTTGTAGAAGGTTCTAGAATCAGTGGGGGAGGGGAGCATCTTCCCAACCAGCCTTGACCAGAGCTGTGGGACAGGGGTGGCCCCTGAGAGGCTGAATTTCTCCACACCCAGGACCAAGTGATGGCCCTGGGCCTTGCCAAGACCACGGCCACAGGGGCCCACATGGCAGCAAGTCTGGCTGCTTGTCTTCATCCTGCGGAAGCAGTTGCAGACAGCAGCCATGGGAGGGTGGATGGAGGGACCAGCAGAGCCTGCAGGGCTCAGAGGTGCAGGGAGGGCGGGGTGTGAGCACCCATTGCTCTAGCGGCCTCAGGCCTGACATCCTCAGAGGCAGGAAGCTGTGGTGGAGGCTGAAGTTTCCTGGGCAGAGGGGAGGCAGGGGCGAGGTGAGATGTGTGTGAAGACACCAACTAGAGCCTGAGCTCATCTGGGCCTTGAGGTGGGGTCCCGGGTTGCAGGGGCACAGGATGGGGTAGGAGTTGCCCCAGGGAGGTGGGGAGCCTGAGATGGGAACACTAGGAAAAGTGGGGGCAAAGGAGTTGCTAAGACAAGGAATCAGGGACAAAAGAGGGGTCTTGTGAGACCTAAGAGCACTGGTAGCCAGAGTGAGCCGAGGTTGGGGCTCACAGTCACAGCTCATGGCTGGGGCTGCCCCAGCCCCAGCTACTTCTGTCTTGGGGAGGAACAGGTGGGCGGGCCCCAGCAGAGCCAGTAAAAATGGGTTCCTCTTCTGGCAGCTTCCCTTTCTCACACTGCCTATACCCCTCTTCTGGAACACCCCAGCCAGAGCTGGGAACCACCTGCCCTGTGTGTGTCCTCTGGTACATCTGGGGACTACTGGGACCCAATGACACTCTTCTCTCCTAGACCCAGCTCTGAGCATTAGAGACCCCTGCCCCCAGAAACATTACTGCTGTGGCAAAGTGCCATCCCACAAAGGAAATGTCCCCGTGCGAGGCAAGAGCCTCATTTCCACACAGCCCCACAGCACTGCCAGCTTCAGGAACATGGGTGGCCTCAAGGGGAGCTGGGCCCAGGGACCGTTCCTCACTAGAAACGAATGCATCCTTTACACCTAACCCCAGGACTGGGTGGGACCCTTGTGTGACAGTGGACAGGTGACTTGGCCCCTTTAAGCCTTAGCATCATTGTGGGTAAACAGGGAGGGTAGTAGTATCACCTATGGCTGGGAGGCCCCTAAAGCTTGAGAGTCCAAAGATTCTGGGGTTAGAACCCTCACCCAGGCTGTTAACGTCCCTTAGAAGTTTCTATTTCAATACTAACCACAATAGCTATCCATCACCTCTGCCCTGCCCAGCCTGCAGTCCTTTCGCTTTTCATATCAGGGGCAGGGTTATCACCCCCTTTCCCAGATAAGTAAACTGAGGCCCAGAGAGGGAAGGTGCCAAGATCCTGAAATGTGTGTCTGAGTGGAGCCTGGTCCTCCTGACTCATAGGGGAGAGGGGATCTATGCACCCCGCCCCTGCTGGGGGGCACAGCTCCCCAGCACACGGAAGCGCCTCATCTGTAGGCCTGGGCCCTGCGTGGAGGCCCACGCTGGATCCTGGGGAAAGCCGAGCCAGGCAGTCAAGCCAGGAAGGCAACCTGGAGCTGAGGTCTGGGCTGGCTGCTTAGCCCCTCCCCAAGCCCCTCTCGCTTTAGACGGCTGTGTTAACAGCCATTTTTCCTCACCTGGTCAGGGCTGGGGCATGTGGGATGAGGTTTGCTCCCTCCCTTCTGGAGTAGGCTGAAAGGCACTCCAACAGTCCTACCTATGGTCCTCTGTCATTTACAAAGCTTCTTCTTAGTCGTGTGACCTTGGGCAAATCACTTCACCTCTCTGTGCCTCAGTTTCTCCATCTGTAAAATGGGGATACCAATAGCGTCTACCTTGTACGGTGGCCTTGAGGAATGATGAGTTAATGTAGGTAAAGGACTTTGAATGCGGCCTGGCATATAAGGAATAAGCCTTTGTGGATAAATATTGACCTTCTTAATCATCTTTATTATTATTATTATTATTTCTTTTTGGCAGCTGGCCAGTATTGGGATCCAAACCTTGATCTTGGTCCTATAACACTGCACTCTAACCAACTGAGCTAACCAACCAGCCCATCTTTATTATTGTTGTCATCAAGGCTCATCTGCTTATCACATCTCCATTTCACAGATGTGGAAACTGAGGTCCAGGGGCTAATTCCCAGTTGGGAAGGCTGGGGAAGGCTTCCTGGGAGAGCTGGTGCTTTTAGAGTGGCTGGGCAGGCAGCTGACCTTGGCTGTTGGGTGCCTGTCTCTGTCCTTGATAAAGGCCCCCTTCAGCTACTTGGGCTCTTAACAGGAATTTTCCCTGCCCAGCTTACCTCCCAGTGGCTGCTTAAGTTAACTTGTGAACACTCAAGGGCTACATAAAGCCATAGCGATTACTTCACTTACTCAGCTACTCATTCGTGTGCTCCTTCATTTACCAGACGTTTGCTTAGCTCGCTCCTGTTCCAGGGAACACAGCAGTGAACACTACAGAGACGGCCTCTCTCCTTCCTGTCCTCAAGGAGAGACAAATGGAAAAAAACCCAGAAACATATTGTGACGTCCTCTAGCAATATGTTCTATGTAGTAAAATAAAGCCATAGTCACAGGACAGACTGCGAAGGAGGCAGTTGTTTCATAGTAGTCAGGAAAGGTCTCTCAGAGCAGGTGACATTTCTGCAGAGACCTGAAGGAAAGGAGGGAGCGAATCATGCTTCTACCCATGGGAAGAGCCTCCTAGAAGAGGGAACAGAGAACGGAGGCCCTGAGGGGAGAGCAGGCTGGGTGTGATCGCTTCCAGTCCCTGTAGTCTGACTTCCCCCTCCAGCCCACTGCAGCCTGACTTCTGCTCTCACCCATTTGACTGAGATGGCTCCTCCTGATGTCATCACAGGCATGTTGCTGAACCCATCGGTCACGTCTCACCCCTTATCTCTGCTGCATTTGACAGAGTTGAGCCACTGCAGCAACAGTTAGCCAATATTTACTATACACCTGCTGGGTGCCAGGAATTATTTGTAAGGACAGACATGGCCCTGCCTTCATGGTGCTTACAGTCTATGGGGGACACAGACAGTAAACACGTAAATATGTAATACAGGATGTGGTAGGTATATCAGCCAGACCATCAGGGGCCAGTGTTAGAGACAAACAGGGCAGGGAAGGACTTAGAAAGAGTGGTGAGGGAAGGCCTCTGGGGAGGTGTCATGTATATTTGCGGCGAATCAGCCACACAAGAAATGAGGGGAGACATCTGAGCACAGTGGGCCCCATTGTACAACTATTTATTCACTCCTGCCATATTTCTAAAATGGACTGAGAATATGTGTGATGCTAGAATTATGAACCCCATTGTTTTGTCTTACAGGCTCAGAACCTGTTTTTCACAATACAGAATAAAATAGAGCATTGATGTGTGTTAGAGGAAGGAACACTCAGAATTTAATTAGCTGAGGTTGACTTCTGGCTCAGTCACTGATTCAGTGACCTGGGGCAAGTCACTTCACTTCTATGAAACTCAGTCTGTTTACAGAAAATGAGAGTATTCCTAATTTCCCTATGATATCAGGTTGTAATGTAAGGATTGCTGAATCATTTATAGACAAAAGCACTCCAAAAACAGTATAAAGTATAAGACGTATTATTATTATTATTATGAAGGCAGAAGTAGCAGCAAGGCAGTTATCCTGAAAAAGGAAATAATATAGATGGTGAAGTTTGAACGTTCAAAAATAAAACACCAGGAAGAAAATAGACCAAAAAGAAAAAAAGAAAAATAAGGGAAGAACATTCTAGGTGTAGGGAACAGCAAGTATGAAGGCTTTGAGGTACAAGAGCTTAGTGGGTTTGGGAAACAGTGAGGTGGCCACCCTGGCTGGACTGCAGTGAGTGAGGGGCACAGGGAGAGATGAAGTCATTGAAGTCAGTGGGTGCCAGCTCATGTGGACCATGGGGAGATGTTTGGATTTTATACAAAGGACAATAGGGAGCCATTGAAGGTGTTTCAGCTGTGGAAGGGAGGCAGGATCTGACAACCAGTTGGGGCTTGGACGAGAATGGTGCCAGGGGGTATGGCAAGCAGCAGACAGAGCCAGGCTGTCCAGTCGAACTTTCTGCAATGATAGAAATGCTCTGCACCTTGCCCCTAGCCCCATGTGGCAATTAATCACTTGAAATGTAGCTAGTGCATCTAAGGAGCGGAATTTTTAATGTTAATCGATTTAAATTTAAATAGTCGCATGGGGCTGGTGGCCATCCTTTTGGACAGCACAGGTCTAGCGAGACATGAAGAGGGGTTAGGAGCGGGGACAGTTTGGGGCATATGTGGAATGGGGAGGAGATGGGCTGGAATAGTGTGCTGGGCCAGTTTCCCACGTTGTCACAGGATTCCTCCAGCTCTGTAGTGAGAAGGTGGTCGGGCCTGAGCCCTCACCCCTTCTGCAGTGTTGGGGGGACTCTGGCTGAAGAACCGCACAGCAGCCCTCCTGGCCCAGCTGTCACAACCATGGCTCCTGTTTACTGCATACTCTCGGGGTCCCCATGTGTCCATGTGCTGGATGCATTGGCTGTTGACAGTCCCATGAGGTAGGTTGGATTATGATGTCCATGTTCCAGGTAGGGAAACTGAGGCCCCCACAGATGTTGTGTCTAAGTCAAGGTCACACAACAAGTTAGCAGCAGAGCTGGGCTTTGAATTCATGTCTTATCTGCTTCTAGTGATTGTGACCTTAAGCACTGTGCTGTGTCAGGGGTCCCTGGGTTGAGGGGAAGGAAGAGAGTGACTGTGCCCCATCCTCAGCAGGGGGCCAGGAGCAGGACTGTGGCCTGGCTGTGCTCAGTGGAGAGGCCACTTGTCCTGAGAGGCTTTTTGCAGGGAAGGAGCAGAGGGCATGCCGGCACCACCTGAGCACCCACAGCAGCTTGGGGAGAGGTGGGCTGGGGTGGGGGGATTCCTGGGCCTCCATGTTTCTGTTCAGTGGAAGCAATTCATGGTGCCTTTGTGCAGAAATGGCTGGGAGTCACTAAGGAGCCTGAAAGGCTATCAGTTCTCACTGTGGGAGTTTTGAAAAAATACCCGGGCACAATGACTAAGAGTGGGGCTCCTAGGTCAGGGGAAAAAAATAAGACATTATTGGTGAAATGGGTGAGAGGTGAACATGGCCTGTGCCCTGGGCTAGAGGTCAGCATCGGTGTGGGTTTCCTGAGTCTGACACTTGCATGCGGTAGGTAAGAGAAAGCCCTCATTCTTAGGGAACAGGCTCTGAACCATGAAGGGCTAAAGACTGCATGTCTGCAATTACCTCTCACGTGGTTCAGAGAAACAAAAGTGTTTATATATAAAGCAAGTGGCACAAAATGTAAGCACTCAGGGAAGCTGAGTAAGGGAGTTCCTCACACTCTTTGTTGCAATTTTTCTGTAAGTTTGAAATTGTCAATATAAAAAGTTACCCAAAACAATTTTCAAAGAATAAAAACCAATCTAGGCTCAAGCCCAGCTTGGAGTTCTGATTCAGCTGGTGTTGGGGATGGTGGGGCATCGGGATTGATAAATTATCCCCAGGTGAGCCTGATGTGCAGTTGGGACCGAGAACCACGGTGCATCTGGGTGGGGAGGCTGTTTGGGGTCGTTTCCAGCAACCCCCACCCTCCTACTAGGATTGGCAAGCATGGGCAGGAGGAATCCAGCCGACTGCATCAGAACCAGGAAGGCTGGAGGCTGGAGCCCCACATGTGGCCTCTGGGCCTTGGGCATCCGTGGGCCCGGCCAGCCCCACAGGTCTGAATCTCCAGGGAGGGGAGGGCTCTAGCACTTTTATAGCGATCAGCAGGGCCGGGAGCACAGTCATCGCTGCATAATTGTTAGCAGTTTTTCCAGCACCTACCCTATAATCAGGCCCAGCTCTGAGCGCTATGTGGGTTTGAGCTCATGTAATCTTTGCCACCCTCTGGGAGTGTGGGCTGCCACCCCTGCTTTATAGATAAGGAAACAGGCCTAGAGGCACAGAGTCACTTGCACAGCCCCCCCTTGGAGTCCAGACAGGGAACTCTTGGTGGACAGGAAGGGGGTGCCTCCCTGACCCCCATCTGCTCTCTGGATTCAGGGCAAGAAGACTATGACCGGCTGCGGCCCCTGTCCTACCAGAACACGCACCTCGTGCTCATCTGCTATGATGTCATGAACCCCACCAGCTACGACAACGTCCTTATCAAGGTGAGGCCTTGCCCAGCCTCCCTGCCCCTGGGGTGGAGCCCAAGGATCCAGCAGCCCCAGCCCTGATGCTCTCGTCTCCCTTCACAGTGGTTCCCTGAGGTCACGCATTTCTGCCGTGGGACCCCCATGGTGCTCATTGGCTGCAAGACAGACCTGAGGAAGGACAAGGAGCAGCTTCGGAAACTCCGGGCCGCCCAGCTGGAGCCCATCACCTACACACAGGTTGGCCAGCACCCTCCCATACTCACCCTACTGCCAGGGCCAATATCCCTGGGCACAGCCATGGCAGAAAAGCCTCCCACACCTTTGGCCTCTGCAGCTGGGTGCCACAGTGACCCTTCCGGGGGACGAAGCAAACAGGATCCTAAGAATAATAATTTTAAAATAGTAATATTGATAGCCCATGGATCTGAGCACTTTACTTACCTCATTTAATCCTGAGGCAGGTATTGTTAACATCCCTCAGTTTATAGGGGAGAAACTGAGGCCCAGAGAGGTTAATCATCTTGCCCAGGGCCACATAGCTGACCTGAAGTGGAGCCACGATCAGGTCCCAGTCACTCTGGCTCCAAAGTCTATCCCTTAACCACCATCCTGTCCTGTCCACCCAAGGGACTAGAAAGGTAGGCCCTGAATTGAAAGTAGGCTTCCCCTACCTGTGAAAGTCACAGGCAAATTCAAACCCTGCAGCTTTTAGGGTGAGGCATGGAGTAATAAATAGAATAAAAGGAATATAAAGGGAAATGAATAAACTTTAATAAAAAGTAATAAGCATTCATTAAGCTAAATTCATTTTTTAAATAAATATATATATATATATATATATATTTTACTCTAATAGCAAGCTCAGTTGCCTAAATTATGTTTTCAGAGAAGGGGGAGAGGTGTATAGGAGGTCCTGTCTGTCTTGAGGCCTTCCAACTCTTCCACGGCCCTGGGAGAGACACTGCTAACCCCAGTTCTCAGAACTCAGCCCCTCTCTCTGCCTGCAGCTGGAGAGGGCGGGTGGACAGCAGGATGGGGCTTCTCCCTGCAGCTGCAGCCCACGGGCAACATGTTCCATCCACACACACCAGTGAGGGCTGGCCCTGGGACAGAGGAGAGAGAGGGGCCCAAACCAAGACCTCCACCCCTGGAGAGCCCCGTCATCCACAAGGAGGTGGCAGAAGGCCCCTGCATCTAATGCTGGCTCCTCCTCCCACCCAGGGACTGAGCGCCTGCGAACAGATCCGTGCTGCCCTTTACCTGGAGTGTTCCGCCAAGTTCCGGGAGAATGTGGAGGACGTCTTCCGAGAGGCCGCCAAGGTGGCCCTCAGTGCTCTGAAGAAAGCACAACGGCAGAAACAACGGCGGCTCTGCCTGCTGCTGTGACCCCAGGGCAGACGGCCCTCATGACAGGACTGACAGGGCGGGTCCCCAGGCCCAGATGGCCTCATCCCCAACTCTCCAGCGCCTGCTGTCCAGGGCCTGTGGCTAGACTCTTAGAACATTCTGGAATTCTCCTTTCCCAGTGGGGCTGACTGCAGATTCGCCTCCAGGCTCACACTGGAGTGCAGTGGTGAATGAGGGTGCTGGATTTGCTCCCCTCCGTACCCTGGAACCAGCATTTATCCCCAGGACTGAGAATTTCCCTCTTCACAGCCTCCCCAGCCATGTGTCCCCCCCCAGCACACCCAATTTATGCTTGAAATTAAAAGCTACATCTGGCCTGGGGGTAAATGTGGACTTGGCATTGTTCCACAGGGGTGCCTCCAAGCCTACTGCTCCTGTGTCACCGCCTCCCCGGACATCCCAGATAGGCATGCTGCATCCTCCAGCTCTTCCTTCCTCCCCCAGAAAGCCGGCAGCCACTGTGGGGCCAGGGCTATCAGGAGAATACAGACACCAGCCCCCACCATCCGTCCTCCGGACTTCAGCCTCAGCCTTCAGCTTGGCCACCATCTTTTCAGAGCTAGGCCCATATGCCCAAAGGGGAGAAGAAACGGGTTCTCAAAAGGCCAAAAGTATATCCTGGGCCACCCATCCACCTCTGCTCAAGATCTCACCTCCAAACCCTTCACCGCCAGAGGCTCAAGATGGAAAGTGCCATCAGCCCCCTGTGTGATTCTGGGCAAGTCACTTGTCTCTCTAGACTGTTTTCCCCATCTGCAGAAGGACAGGATGGCCCCTGTAAATATTCATCACGCTACTTACCTTCTGTCTCTCACAGCTTCTGCTTCTACCAAGATGCAGAGTTCAGGAGCTGAGATCATCCTGGCCTCCTTCGAGAACTGCCATGATCGACCCTTTGCCCATGTGGGATGGTTTCTCAAAACTGGTCCACAGCAAGATTCCTGAGCCCTGAACCTCTTTCTGAAGGTCTGGTGTCTGGGACATTTTAAACAGGTGCCACAGGTGATTTCTTATGCACACCAGAGATTGAGAGCTGCTTGGTTCTGGAGTGAGCCAAGAAGTTAGTGTTATCTAAGGTGGGCTAATAGCTTCAGGCAGCGCCTGTCCTCCCCAGTATCTCCTGCTTCAGTTCCCCCTGCCCAGTGCTGAGGCCCTGCCCATGCCTGAGCCTCTCAGAGGTCAGGGTGCCAGGGAAGGAGACTTCTAGAACCCACCCAGGTTCTCTAAGGCCTTACTCTGTCTTGGGGAGTCAACCAAGGACCTCTTGTTGGACACAAGGCCTCATGGACAAATGATGGTCTACGGAATAGGTCAGCAAACGACAGTCTGTGGGCCACATCTGCCCACGTGTTCTCATAAATAAAGTTTTATTGGAACACAGCTACACTCATTTATGCATTGGCTGCTTTTGCCCTACAACTGCAGATTAGAGGATCTGTACTTGCCAGAGACCATCTGGCCTACAAAGCCTAAAATATTTACCATGTGGCCCTTTACAGTTAAAGTTTGCTGACTCCTAATCTAGGGCAAACTCAGGTGCCTAAAAAGAGCCAGATGGGGGCCAGCCCGGTGGCGCACTAAAGAGTGCGCCGCTTGGGAGCGCGGCGGCGCTCCCATGTGGAGACCGGTTCCCGCTCACTGGCTGAGCGCGGGGCGGGCGCGACACCGAGGGTTGTGATCCCGTTACCGGTCAGTAAAAAAGGAAAAAAAAAAAAGAGCCAGATGGGAGTCCCAAACAAGTGAAGTAGAGCAGGGACAAAAGGGAGTGGTGGGGCCTGTGGCAAACTGGAAAGTGGGCACCTCCACCCCACCCTGTGGGAATTTTGCCAGATCTTTCCATGTTTCTAGGGAAAGTAGAAATCTGGATTTTTATATGGAATCTCACTGTGGGGAAAGGGAAAACTCATATTCTTAAAATGTAAATAATTTAAAAATCCCTTTGAGGGCCAAAGCATGCCTGTGGACACTAGATGTGAAGTGTGGTCTAAATGGATTTGTAGGGAAATAGTTAAGGGCAGCGGAGGCCCATATGTGGGGAGAAGGGGCAGAACATTCAGCCCAACCTGTTGGCTTCTCCACCTTCCCTCCTAACACAGAATCTCCCACCAGGTGTGTGACTGGCAGACCTGCCCTGGCCTCAGTGTGGGCCTCCCGGGGTGTGCCTGCACAGACTCTCCCCACCTCCCTCCCACACATTCCAGAACCTCTGAGGTAGAGAGTGGGTAACCTCCTTGATGGCTTAAGTCCCAGCCAGCGCTGATGGGGTAGGTCAGGAAATCCCCCCAAGAGCAGATAAAACTGTGTCAGAAACAACCAGCCACTCAAATGAGCTGGGGCTGTGGCGCCCTCTGGTGGTGACCCTCCTTAAAACCCTCCCACCAGTGGCCGCGGGGGGCCAATGCAGGAAAGGTGATGCAGGCAGGCGATGCAGGAAACAGAGAGCACGAGGCAAAGACAGACAGTGGTTCTCTGAGAACTTAAATAATCCCCCACCACAGGGGGAGCACAGGCCACGGGGGAAGGGAGCTTACAGCAGAAGCAGAGCGGCCCAGGAGCGAGGAGGCTCCACAGAACGCTGAAGGGTTTCATTCCACCCCACCCCCCCCTGCCTGGGACTTAGTAAGTAGCAGGTCAGCATAAATCCAACCCCGGCAAGGCACATCCAAACCCCAACCGGCCCAGGAGCGAGGAGGCTCCACAGAACGCTGAAGGGTTTCATTCCACCCCACCCCCCCCCGCCTGGGACTTAGTAAGTAGCAGGTCAGCATAAATCCAACCCCGGCAAGGCACATCCAAACCCCAACTTGAGGGGTTCAAATGATGAGAGTGGGGACAGAGGGGCTCCCTGAGGCTTTAGGCCCCTCCCCCAGGAAGACGGACCCAGTCTCCCTCAGATTCCAGGGAAGCGGGAAGAACCAGTCTTAAATATGTCATAAATAGGGAGGCTGGGTAGACTAATACTGTGCGGACAGGCCGGGTTCACATTCCTCTTGTCCGGCAAGGAGCAGGGCCTGGGTCCTGCTCTCAGCCACGCCGCTGGCCCCTGAGATGGCTGCTGTCCCTGGCCACTGGCACTGGTGGGGAGGAGCTCAGCAGCTGGGGTGCTGACTAGAGTCCCCTGGTAGTCTCAATGTCCGGGGGCCCAAGGGGCTCAAGAGTCCCATGGCTCATGGCTTCTTTGTCTTGTTTCTGTTCTTCTGGAGTTTGGCATGCACGACTTTGAGTGTGGTCAGGAAGTTGCCGAGGAAGAGGACGAGGAATGTGATCGCCAGCACAAATACCTGGGGCAGGGGTCCAGAGAAGCAGCAGCACCAGGGGCAGAGGATGGCGGGGCAGGCAAGAGAGAAGGGGGAGCTCAGATCTGCCCTGCTGAAATGCCCCCCAACCCCTGGCCTGGGGATCACAGAACCTCTCAGCACAAGCTACTCCCAAACTGCACGTGGGTGAACTGGATGAAGAGTGTGAGTCCCCAGGGTCCTGAGAGAGTGTTCGATGGGTGAAACTCCTCGGGGTTCATAGACCCTGGGGGGCTCTTTGGCCTCCTGAATTCCCTCCTACCATCTCCCAGACCCTAGTAGCAGAGAGCTCTGGCAGCAGGGCCCCAAGGGAGGGGGAAAGGAGGTGGCCAGTACAGAATTCTCCCCAAGCCGCCACCCCAGCACGCACGCGCACATGCACCATACCTGCCATTCTTTGCATTCTTCATGGCTGGAGAGCTCAAACAACGTGACTGCATTGTAGAGCTGCCAGAACTGGAGAGAGGGGAGACAGGGACTGCTCACCCACCCGATTCCCCTGGAGACCCACGTGGAAAGCCAGGGAGGTGGGCCAGGTCCCTCCAGCTTCAGATACTGCCTGAGACACTGACATCCCCCCAAGGTGAAACTGTAGACCACAGCAGGTCTGAGGGCAAGTCAGGCTCCTGCCCTTGGCATCCCAGGACCCCATGGAGCCCAGCCTGGGGACAGCCAGTGAAGAGGGAGAGACGTGAAGACCTGTTTCCAGAGGTCAGCCCAGACCAGGGGATACCCACACACTCCAGGGGGACTCACGTGGCCACAGAACAGGAAAGGCAGCAGGAAGGTGAGGCCTCGCCACATCCAGGACTGGAAGCCTTCTGTGGGGAAGCAGGAGGAGTGAAGGATCCATGTGAGGGAGCCCAGCTGCCCCACAGCCCCACCAGGCATCCACTGCCCAGCCACACCAGTCGCCCGAAGATTAGCCAGGCACAAAGCCACACAGGCAGGGGGACAACCCTCACCTTCTCTGGGTGGGTGAGCGTTCACTATGAAAGCAAGCCAGAGAGCATGTGGTGTCCTATCACTAGGCCTACTTGCACTTATTCCTCAATCACCACAAGCCAGGAGGGCCTAACAACACTCACGGAACACCAGGCACTGCATCTGTACTCATGTCTTTAATGTGAATGGGATTTTGCATTTTATAATGGATTTTTTGTCTTTTTTCGTGACTGGTAAGGGGATCACAACCCTTGGTGTGGTGTCACCCACACTGCGCTCAGCCAGTGAGCGCACCGGCCATTCCTATATAGGATCTGAACCCGCAGCAGGAGCGTTGCTGTGCTCCCAGCGCCACACTCTCCCGAGTGCGCCACGGGCTCGGTCCTATAATGGATTTTTGCAAGCATCATTTCAATCAAGTCTTGACAAAGAAGGGCCTACTTTGCAGTTATTTGATGGAAATGACCATCTTGATCCGTTGCCGGTCACAAAAAAAAACAAAAAAAAAAAAAAAAAAGACAGCAGAGTATTATTAAAAACAATTTCCAGGAAGGCTGACTGGTTAGCTCAGTTGGTTTGAGCATGGCCTTGTAATGCCAAGATTAAGGGTTCAGTTCCCCCTACCAGCCACCAAAAAAAATTTTTTTTAAAGAAATTTCTGCTGAAAGTTTAGATGAGGGTTCTCCAAACTTTTCTTACTGGACACCCCTATGGGTTAAAACAGTAAAACATGCATTCCCAATGTATATACATTTATATGTTTATACATATTTATATGTAGACATGTTATACATCAATTATATGCACAACCAACTCTAGGCTAACATTATGTATATTATAAAATGCAGACAAAAAATAGACATTTGGAAAGGATAAGACAGAGGCCCAGCATCAAGGCCTGGTGCTCAGCTGGCCTCGCACTGGTCAGCTGAAACAGAATCCATGATGAATTATGAAAAGCAACTCAGGTAAAGAATGACAGCCCTGGCTTTGTCATGTTGTAAGTCTTGGTACGTTCCTGTTAGAATGTGCTCCCAGTGTGAGGAGTTGGACAGGTCCATGCTTGTCCCCCCGGGGGCCTGGCTACTCACCCACGGTGAGGTCCAGGTGATTCCTCTCACCCAGGGCCCGCAGTCGGTAGAGGCAGCCCCTCTGGTAATAATATTGTAGGAACTGGACACAGCCTGCAGGGGAGCACAGTGCCCGGGGTTCAGGGATGACATCCCAGGAGGACAGGGTGACGCCTCCTCTCTCCCCCAGGTCCAGAGGCTGGTGGGTTTTCACTGGCCAGAGGGCAGGGAGGGCACCCTGGTTACAACCCTCTTCCACTCCACAAAACACACACACACACACTTTGGTCTGAATCTGCTCCCTTATCTAGAATACAAAGAGATCACAGGTATGTGAGGATCCATCTAAGCCTCAACTAGATCAGAAACTTCTGCAGTTTTCCTAGACATGCAGTAGGCACTCAATAGATGCGTGGTGGAATGCAAGATGAGCCCATGCTGTGATGAAAGCTATGTGAAATGGTAAGACACACAGAGATGATTCCATACAATGGGATACTTTGTAGTTGCTAAAAATGAGGTGTTGACATGGAAAAATAGCCATGATCAATTGTTAAAATAAAACGTTAGATAGGAGGTTATAAGAGCAAAGCTCTATGTACAGAAAGAGTCTATATTTGTAAAATATGGACAATGTAATACATATGTGTATATACATATTTATGAATAAAAACATTTGAAAGGACAGAGATCTTAATTAACATTGATCACCTCTAAGGGTGGGACTATATACAATTTCCCTTCTTGGCTTTATACATTTGTATTTGTTTGCAAGCACGTTTTTATTTAAAAATAAAGTTTGGGGGCCGGCCCATGGCTCACTTGGGAGAGTGTGGTGCTGATAACACCAAGGCCACAGGTTCGGATCCCATATAGGGATGGCCGGTTAGCTCACTGGGTGAGCGTGGTGCTGACAACACCAAATCAAGGGTTAAGATCCCCTTACCGGTCATCTTTTAAAAAAAATAATAATAATAAAAATAAATAAATAAATAAAAATAAAGTTTTGAATAGGCAATATGCACATGGTATAAAACTCAAAGGGAAAAAACAGGTCCTTGGTGAAAAGTAAAACTCTCTCTCTGTCCCCAATCATCCAAGCTCTCCCTCCCCAGAGGCAACCCCTGGGACCAGTTAATTATACACAAATCCAGAGCTATTCCCAAATGAGAAAAATAATATATATTTCCATTTTGAGGATATATTTAAAACTGGGAAACAAGGTTAGTAGCCCTGACATGACCCAACGGTTATAAATGGTCCAGTTCTGACTTGGGGAAAGATCTTTCAGTGAAGCAGCTCCGGGGGGTGGGTGTGGATCAGGCTGTCTCATGCCCAGCCTGGCTGGGGGCTGGGAGGTAGGATGGAGTTGATCTAGCAGGGAAACAGCTCTTTTCTGGATTTCTGGGACCTTCCCTGCCCCAGGCTGGTCTCACACACAGGCAAGCCACAGGAAACCGTGCCCCTCCCCCAAATCTGGGCAGGAGACACTCACTCTGAAAAATGGAAAACGCTAAAAACTGATCTCGAAACTTCTGATAAATTAGTCCATTAGGCCTGGAGAGAAGGAGGGAAGAGACTAAGTTGGGGTGTGCTGTGACATCAGACATTCATCCTGCCACATCTCTGCCCCAACCAAGAGAGAAGAAAAGCTTTTAAAGTTAAACCGAGGTCCGCGATTTCTGCCCTTCATTGTCTCTGGGGCTGGACCACATAGCTTTTAAAGTTAAACCGAGGTCCGCGATTTCTGCCCTTCATTGTCTCTGGGGCTGGACCAGAAACACATTTCCATTGTGTTTTCTAGAACCAGGGAACCCACACAGTCATTCTGAAACCTAAGTTCCCTCCAATTATCCCTGCTCCTTCCCAAGTCTCATTAGTGCCGCAGGCCTCCACCAGCCTGGCTGCTTCCTGCCACCTCTGGCCCAGCCAGCAGGGGACCACGAAACACTCCCTGGAAAACTCCCTGGCTGCCTTGGCGGGGTTCCTGCAGCCGGGCCTCTAGCCCAGTTGTAAGCTCACACTTCCCTCCCTGGCCCACAAGTCCACCCTGGAAGGCCTGCACATCTGGATGGGGCCCCTCTCCACCCACCAGTCGCCCTACTCCAGCTCTCTGGCAAGGCTCGAGGGTGCCCAAGGAGTTACTCACCAGGTCAGCATCACTCCGGACAGGAACGTGGAGACATAATGGTGAGACACCCACCAGCCTTTAATCCTTGGGGAGGACAAGAGAAGGAAAGTTCAGGCAGGAGAAAAATGCAGGTGTCTGTCTCTGATTCCCAGCCTATGTGGCCAGGGGCCGCTCTGTGGCCCAGAAAATGAACCCTAGCCATGGCCCTGCCCTTCTCTCTGTCTACAGAGACATACAGTCCCACACAAACCACCTGGAGATTAGCTCAGAGACCCACTAGGGCTTCCAGTGGCTTCCGCAAGCCTCAGGACACATCCCTAACCTCACCAGGCCTCCAAGCCCCGACTTCCATCCTCTCCCCCATCCCTCTCCCCACCATTCAGACGCTTGAAGCGTCCTGGCCCTTCCTTGAACTTGCCAAGCCCATTGCCACCTCAGGGCCTGCCAAGAACTGGATTGTGTCCCCCCCAAATTCCTACATTGAAGCCAACCCCCCTCCGCCCCTGCAGAGTACCTCAGAATGAATGTGACTATATTTGGAGGTGGGCCCTTTAAGAGGTAACTGAGGTTAAGTGAGGCACAAAGGTGGCCCTAATCCAATACAGCCAGTGCCTTCATAAGAAGACGAAGAGATGCAGAGGAGAGGCCATGTGAGGACACAGTGACAGGGGCCATCTGCAAGCCAAGGAGAGAGGCCTCAGAGAAACAAACCCTGCCAACACCTTGATCTCGGACTTCCAGCCTCCAGAACTGTGAGAAAATAAATGTCTGTTGTTCAAGATGCCCGGTCTGTGGTATTTTGCTATGGCAGCCCAGCAGGCGAACACAGGGCCTTTGTACTTGCCATTCTCTCTGCTCCAAGGGTCTTGCCTGCCTGACTCCTGGTCCAAATTCAAGTTTCACAGAAACAGTCACCTCCTCAAAGAGGCCTTCCCTGACCACCTTGCCAAAAACAGCCTAACAGCCCCACTCTGAGTCACGTTGCCATTTCATTTTCTTCATGGTGCTTACCGCTATCTGAAATTCTGTATCATTTTTTCTTGTGTGTAATCTGAGCCCCGTTTCCCACTCACATATAAACTCCAGAAGAGTAGGGATCTGGTCTATGTTGCTCATCAACTTATCTGTGACACCTGGATCAGAGCAGCTGCTCAATAAACTTGTTGGATACACACACACATGTACACGGAGCTGTAGCTGCTCCGTCACCTGTGCAAATACGGAGGTGTGACAGACTCCACACGAGGCATTTCCTGCCATCACAGACGCAGCTTCTCCCTGGGAGCCACACGCCCCGGGCTCGTCTACTGTTGTCTACCTGAGAGGCCCTCACCCAGCCTGGGACTTAATTCATCCAGTCTGGAAGTTATGGGAACCCTGTTCTCAGAACTCAGTACTCCCCCAGCTCAGGGCTCTCAATCCACAGCGGGGAGGGGGCCTGGTTATCACCCCCTCCTCAGCGCCCGTGGTCACTTGGGAGAAAGGGAGTTGGACCCTCAAGCCTTGACCCTTCAGAGTCGCTGAGTGTCTCAGCCTCGACTGGCCTTCCCGAGCTCCTCTTTGGGAGCTGTTATCCAAACAAGGGGCAGCGATGTGCTTTGCCAAATGCATCCTACAAGCAGCCAGTCTCCTTCTCTCAGCCTCGACTGGCCTTCCCGAGCTCCTCTTTGGGAGCTGTTATCCAAACAAGGGGCAGCAATGTGCTTTGCCAAATGCATCCTACAAGCAGCCAGTCTCCTTCCTCCCATGGACTGGGCAAAGGGACTGGGGATGCCCATGAGATTGGTAATCAACATTTGTCCCTTTGCACTCTCTCGGAAGAGAACTGGATGGGGTCCAGGGTGCTACTGCTCCCAAACAGGGGGAACCATGAGGATCTGCTGGTTTGGGGGAAGAGATGCTGGATAAGACTTTCTTTTCAACCAAAAGCATTCCACTAACTGCTTTACTGTCTTGAGTCCCAGGCCAGTACCTATGGATCTGCCACTGGCTTTTGAAGTGCCACAAGACATTCCGAGGTGTGGCTCTGCCATAGTCTACTGAGCTGTTCCTCGACTGTCACTATCACTCTCAATGCTGTCATGACATCCTGTAGAAGTCCCTTAGCATGACAGTCTCTCCATGGTGGCTACCAGAAGGAGGATGACTGGGTACATTGTTACCTCAAACTACCCTCCAAACAGCCATCCCATTTACACTCCTATCAACAGTATAAATGAGTATCTGGCTCCCCAAACCTTCAACAACACTGAATACCACACTTCTAAATTTTTGCCATTCTTATTAGGTGAAAATTGGTATGTCATTCTGGTTTTAATTTGCATTTCCCAAACACACGGGTTGGAGCAGTCTTAAAACCCTCCAACCAGAACATACTCATTGTAAGGCAGGGACTGGATCTTAACCATCTCTTCTCTTTACAGCCCATGCAACAGTACTGGACATAAATTAGCTGTTCAAGCAACAGCCTATGCATGCCTCAGGAGTTACTGCGAGGGACAAGGCTTTACGTAGCTCTGTGTTCCTAGCACTAGGCACTAGGTAAACAACAGGCACTCAGTAAATATTGAGGTGTGGCTGGTGAAAACAGCAGCTACTCTGGATACCACCAGCACAGAAGTGACAGAAGATTGTTGGCAGGTGTAATGTGAGTTCATGGGGACAGGCTAAGATGTCCATTTACTTCTTTGTTCCTATCTTCCCCCGCTCCAAACCGTATATCCCAGTCTTGCCTGTCAGAAGCTAGAGGACCCTGGCCCCAATTTTCTGATAGCAAAGGCAGTTGACCAAATCCTCAGACTTGCAACTTGAAGCGCAACCCAGCAGTTTCTCTGCAACCTCCCCAGAGCTCTGCACAGCCACACATGAGCCCTCAGATCTTGGCAGGCCCCACACTCCTTTGTCCTCTGCAAAGCTCTCCTGAGAAATGCCCTCTTCCTGTCTGGGAGCAGCCTGAGCCAGACACAGACTCCAGGCAACAAGCTTGACTGAGCAGCAGCTTTTAATTTCACAGCTCGCCGTGCCCAGAGCCCAGCTCTGACAGATGCCACCAATAAACACAGCTCAGCGACATCAGGTGAAGCTAGAAGTCGCTTCATCCCCAGCCCAGCATTTACAAGCCCCATCGTCGTCCATCTGCCCACCCCAGGGCTCTGGGACGGTGTGTGTGGTGGGGTGTGGGGTGTGTGTGTGTGTGTGTGTGTGTGTGTGTGTAACAGTTTTATTGTGATAACTCAGACACCATTCAATTCACCCATTTAAAGTGTATAATTCAGTGATTTTTTCGTATATTCACAGAGTTGTGCAACTATCACCACGATCAATATTAGAACCTTGTCATGCCCAAAAGAAATTACACCCATAAGCAGTCATTCTCTGGGCCCATTTTGCCATAGAAATAAAGCTTGCAGGGGCTTATGGCTTTTTTTATGAGCAGACAATAGAAGCCCCAGGAAGAGCGGGTGCACACGTGGCCAGAGTGTAGGGATGGCATGTCCTGGTATCTGGGGATCAGGCCAGGGAGAGCATCACTCCTCCCTTCAGGACACTTTTAGCTATGTTTGCAAGTGTGCATGAGGTATGTGCACCAACCACTGTTCAACTCCAGGCCATTTCTAGATTTGTGCTTCGGGTTATCTGGACGCTGGGGGAATGGCTTCTACACTGAGGATCCCTCTGTGCCTGCCACCCCGTCCGTATTTGTGTACAAGGACACACCCCTACAGAGGCTAGTTAGAGTGGCACGGTGGGCTGGCTCACTAGAAAGGCCAACATGATCACTGAGATTATTCGTCCTGGCCCAGAACTAACTGTAGACCACATCAGGCTGTTTTGCCCGTCTGTCAATCACCACCCATCCTAGTTCCAGGGCTGCTCTCCCTTGTTGGGAACCATGTCACCCCCACATTCAGTCCAGGCAGTTTGGGTGGAGCTGAGGAATATAACCGGACATATGACCAGGAGCCAGCCAATCAGGGCCCTGCAACCCTCTAGCAACAATGATTGGCTTGGAGGTTACCATGTGACCTAAGCCTGGCCAATGGGAAGTCTGTCTCCAGATTCCACCTGGATTGTGGGGGTGGGGAAAGGGGCTCTCCCCTCTGGGATTGCTGATCCAGTAGGAGGTGGTCTGGGCAGCTGGGGGCCAATGCAGGGGGGAAAAGAAAAAGGAGGTGTAGGGGGTTATTAACATTGCTCGTGCCTTTTTCACCTCATTGACTCTCCCAGTTTTATGCGCCCATATTAGGTGGGTTTAGTCTCTATTTAGTTCAGCAAACCTCCAGAAAGCCCATATGGTTCAGCTCCCCTGTCTCCAGAAGACCAGTATGGCCCTGTGGACCTTTCCTCATTGCAGAGCTTGGGTTTCATTCATTTCTTGTTTACTGGGTACCAACCCTGAGCTCCAGAGCTGCCCCTGGGATGCTTCAGAGATGAGAAAAATAGAGTTCATCCCATTCTGGACCCCTCCTGCCCTCCTCACATGCTCTCTTGCAATGGGTTCTTGGCTATTTCCCGGTATGGGGCCAAGCAGGAAAGGAAACCTCAAAGGCATCTCCCTTGCCCGCCCCCAGGATAAATCAGCTCTGAGAGGGAGCTGGGGGAGGTTGGAGGCTAAACCTCCAACAGATGTTGAGGATGAGTCACAGGTTTTAGTTTCCCAGATTCAACCCACCTGCCTTTCCCCTCCCCCACAGATTGGCCACAGCTCCTATAGTCATTCTAGAGGATGAAGCACCTATTTGGGCACACCGGCCGTTCCAGACTTTACTCACCCATCCAAACCCCCGCCCCCAGCCAGCATGTGGAGACAGACCTGGAGGAATGGTTCCATTACAACTTAAGATTCCCTAGGGCCAGCCCATGGCTCACCCGGGAGAGTGTGGTGCTGCTAACACCAAGGCCACAGGTTCGGATCACTATATAGGGATGGCCGGTTAGCTCACTTGGGAGAGCGTGGTGCTGACAACACCAAGTCAAGGGTTAAGATCCCCTTACCAGTCATCTTTTAAAAAAAAAAAAAAAATGAAAAGCAGGCAAGGCAAAAAGGAGACTCATAAAATAGTGGGACTTCTTGCCTTCAGAGATGGAGTGGGTGGGTGTGGACAAGAGAACCCCCAATATTGCCTAGGTTCATTCAGCAATACTGTGACACAATCACTCCCCAAGGGGATCCTGAAACAGCTCAAAGAGGGGACATGATTTGCCCAAGGTCACAGATCTGCGCAGTGACAGCACTGAGACTGGAACCCAGGAATCTTCACTCCCAGCCTGGCCTCCTTCGTCTCCAGCATCATCTCTTTGACAGAGCACAAGACCCTCATCACCTGTCCATTCTCCTCCCCTCTCCTTGTGGAGGACCATCCACTCTTGTCATCAAAATCCATTTGTCCTTCTAGTAACAATATCCCATTTTCCTCTGGGGAACCATTCCCTGCCTGACACCACTTCTATGCTTCTAATGACAGCTACCGGGGTGGGCATGAGGCTCAAGGCTGGCCAATCACAGCAGTGCCTTCTCTGGCAACAGTGACTGATTGGTTCAGGGATAGGCACCACATGATCGAGCCAGTGCCTGGGCCCAGCCAGTGGGACCCAGGGAGACTCTTGGAAGACAGGAATGTGTCCTGTTTGCTGGGAATGCTAGAAATCATGACGGGAGCCTGGAGCTGCTGGGTGCCCCTGCATGGAGCCTGAAAATAAGACAACACAGTGGAAGGCAGGGGTGAGAGATGGAGAGAAACTGGGTCCTGATGACACTGTCTGAACACCTGGATTAGGCCTTACCTGAAGTCAACCCAATGGACCTGTTCTTTTTATGAGAAAATAGGTTTCCTGTCACGTTAAACCAGTCTGAGTTAAGGTTTCTGTTGCTCGGAAGCAAGAGACTGACCATAACAAGTGACGCTGCCTCAACAGCATCAGACCCAGTTTTCCTCCTCCCCGGGACAACAGTCACAGAGTCCTGCGCAGGCCGAGGGCATCAGCCCTCACAGGACTCCCTCCATGACAGACTTCTCTTTGGCTCCCTCTGTGGCCCCCACAAAGCCAGGCCCCCAGTTACCTTGAGCCATTGCTGATGAGAATACTCTCCCGAATCGTCAGGGTGCAGTAATACCACACCAGCAGGAAGTTAAAGACTTCATCCGTCACCCTGGCATGAAGAAACAGCCCCAGGGAGGGGAACAGGCATGAGACCCAGGGACAGCTGTCCCATCCTCACCCCAACAAAGCAGCAAACCAGGATGTGGGCTGCCCACAGCAGACGCTGCCTCTGGAAACCCCTGATGCCCTAGGAAGGCAGGTGGCATTTGGCCTCCTTGCTGTCCTCTCTCCCCCTAGAATGCCTGTCCCCCTCCTCACCCTCCTACCTGAATCCTACCTGTGCTTCAGGCTCTAGCTGAGGTTTCACCTCCTTCCCTGATCACCCAGCCCAGGGCAACCTGTCTCTTTTCTAATTCTTCCTGTCTGATGTGAAATTTCTAGGGGGATGGTAACAGAATGACTTTCAGAACAGGAGACTTAATATTCTGAGTTGTCTGCATGGTTAAGATGTAAACTCCCTCTATCCCTTAAACCATCTGTTAGCTTTGTCACACATACAGAACAATTCTCACGGGCTGTATTTTTGTTTGTTTGTTTTTGTCTTTTGTCTTTTTTCGTGTCCGGCAACGGATCACAACCCTCAGTGTTGCCCCCGTACCGGACCGGGGACCGGCAACGGAATCGCAACCCTCGGCGTTGCTCCCGCGCCTCGCTCAGCCAGTGAGCGGGAACCGGTCTGTATGTGGGATCCGAACCCTCAGGCAGGAGCGCCGCCGCGCTTCCCAAGCAGCGCACTTATCCAGTGCGCCACTGGGCCGGCCCTCTCACGGGCTGTATAATCTGTAAGACTAACTTAAGCAAGACTCTACCTCCTCTACGTGACCACAGCCCAGAGCTGGGCTGAGCAGGCCTTAGAGGCGGACAGAACCATGCTCATGAGTCCTGCTGAGCAGTGGGCAGAATAGAGGGATGCAGGTGTGCTGTGTGTGGCTAGTCAGAGCCCCCCAGCCTCAGTCTTGGCATCTGTAAAATGGGAAGGCTGATCCCATATGTGAGCATCCCTGGATGAAGGGATTCCGGGAGAGAACCAGTGTCAGACAGCCCCTGTGAGGGCTCCCCCACCACTGCCAGTCTCTCTGATGAGGACTCGATGGAGTCTCTGTCTTTGACCCCAATGGGGCAGCTCCTCTGTGCCTCATACAGACACATTCAGCCCGGGAATAGAAATGACTGCACAGGGTACTGTCTGTCTACATAAATGGCAGGGAAAACACCCCGATCTCCTTCATTTCTCTGGCCAAACTGGGAGATCCTTTTCCCTGACTCTAAAAGCCCTGGGAGGAAAAGGAAAGAGGTTGCAACTTTAACAATAAAAGATGGTAAGAGACATCTTTTAAGCTACATGACCCTGTTTTGTGGTGGCAGATGACAGACACTTTCAGCCTGTGCCCTGCTCAACCATCGCCCACAGAGGCGGTCCCGGGAGAGTCAGGAACAGTCACTGGAATCTCAGGGTCTGAGTTCAAATCCTGGCTCTGCCTCGTCCCAGCTGTGGGACCGTGGACACTTCAGTTATTCTCCGGAGCTGACACTTCCCATCTGTGAAGTGCAGACCACGAAGGCGCCTCTTGTGCAGGGCTGCTGCAAGCTTTGGCCGAGTTTAATATGTAAAGGGCTTAGGACCAGAGCTCTATAAGTTCCCTGTCATAACTTTGGAAGCACCACTGAGTATCCACAGTCTAAGAAATGAGTCTCAGAAGCCTAGCTCTCAGGAAATCAGAGGCCCACTTGATTTGCACAGCAGACAAGAGTGGCAGAGGTGGAGGAGACAGACCTCCCTGGGGCAGAGGGTCACTTTAGATACCCACTTTCTAGCTCACCTCCAGGCGGAGGCAGGCCCAGTAGCAAGTTGTGGAGACCAGGACATTTTTCACTGGTCTCTTCCTATTATCTTATCAGCGAAGAGAGGAGTAAAAATAAAGTTTTATGGCTCCAGCACTTGTTCTGGACATGTTTGAGGATCTAGCCTCAATCTGCTTGGCTGAAGTGTACGAGTTTCTTGTTGCTGTTATAACAAATCACCACAAACTTAGTGGTTGAAAGCAATACACATTTACTCTCTTACAGTTCTGGAGGTCAGAAGTCTAAATCAAGTCTTACAAGGCTAAAGCCAAGCTGTTAACAGGGCTGGCTCCTTCTGGATGCCCTAGAGGAGAATCCGCTTCCCTGCCTTTTCCAGCTTCCAGAGGCTGCCAGCACTCCAATCCCAGCTTCTGTCATCACGTCTCCTTCTGTGACTCTGACCCCCCTGCCTCATTCTTATAAGGACCCTTGTGATGACACTGAGCCTACCTGGATAACCCAGGATCAGCTCCCCATCCCAAGATCCTTAATTTAATTCCATCTGCAAAGTCCCTTTTGCCATGTAAGGTAACTTATTCATGAGTTCTAGAGGTTAGAATGTGGACATCTTTGGGGACCATTATTCAGCCTACCATGCTAGGCCGACACTAGTTACTAGGAACCTGCAATGTTAAAGGCACTTTGCAGCTGACTGACAGCATTGGAGGATAAGCACCCCAGCTCTGCACCCCTCAGGTGAATAATGCTGAGGCATGTTTGTGCTGTCCCCCCCGTTCCTCAGCAGCATTGAGTTCCAGCTGCCCATAGGATACCTCTTCCTTATCTTGTTTCCCATTCCTCTACCAATGTTTCCTGGGATCACCTCCCAAATAAATCACTAGCACTACAATGCTTGTCTTGGGTGTCTCTTATAGAGGAACCCAATATAAGACAGTACTACTTCCCACTTTACAGATGAGAAAACTGAGGCTCAGAGAGGGGAAGTGAGTTGCCCTGAATCACACATCAGCAAGCACTGAGTGAGCTCCAAACCTGAGCCCATCCAACCCAAGCTGAATTCCAACTACCTCTTTCCTACCTGGTTCAAAATCTGATAAAAGACAATCCTAACCAGACACAGCCTCTTGGCCAGAAGGCAGCAGAGGGAGGTTTCAAACTTTCTAGCTGCCTCACCAAAGCCTCCTGAAGACCAGGCAGCACTGGCAGATCAGACGTCCTGGGGCTCATGGGAGAGATGAGAAAGACACAGAGAGGTCAAGGGTTCTAATCAAGATCACACGGCCTGTGAGTAGCAGAGCTGGACTTAGAACCCAGGACTCTAAAGGATGTTGGCCATGCCCAGCTGCAGGCTTACAGGTACCAAGAAGGGCCTTTGGGTGGGGCACTGAGCAAGGAAGTGATCCCAAGGGGGCAAGAATAAGGAAAGAGAATCTTGCTACTTGGACATACTGAATATGAAGCTGTATTCTTTTTCATGTGTGCCCAGTCTTAGCACAAAATGATGGTGGCAGTGACAAGTGTGAACACTTAAACAGCACTTAGGTGCTAGGCACAATTCTAAACAAAAATGACTTCAGTCCTCACAACCACCCTACCCAGTAGCTGCTGTTATTCTTGATTTACATGTGAGGAAACTGAGGCAGGAAGAGGTTAGATCATTTGTCCAAGGTTAAACAGCAATGCTAGCTTCCCCGTGGGCACCAGAACAGAGATGAGCTGCCCCTCCAGTCCCCCTACCCCCCCCGGGCCTACCCTCTTTTTTTGATGGCTGGCTGGCACAGGGATCGAACCCTGAACCTTGGTGTTACCAGCACCATGCTCTAATCAACTGAGCTAACCAGCCAGCCCCCACCCCCAGCCCATTTTTAACTCTTGGAAGATGTCCTGGGTTGTAAATGTCCCCCCAAAATTCATGTCCACTATGACCTCAGAATGTGACCACATTTAGAAATTGGGTCTTTGTAATTCTTTAAGATGAGGTCATATTGGGTTAGGGTGGGCCCTAAACCTAATGACTGGTGTCCTTGTAAGAAGGCCATGAATGAGACACACAGGGAAGGAGGCCATATGGCAACTCAGGCAGAGAGTGGAGTGAAACAGTTTTAAGCCAGGGAACACTGAGGATTGCCAGCAACCTCCAGAAGCCAGGAGAGTCAAGGAAGACTCCTCCCTTAGAGCCTTCAGAGCGAGCATGGTCCTGCCAACACCTTGATATTAGACTTCTGGCCTCTAGAACTCTGAGAAAATAAATTTCTGTTGTTTTAAGCCCCCCAGTTTGTGGTATAGTCGGCCCTACATATCTGCAGATTCAATTAACCACACATTGAAGATATTTTTTAAAAAAACATACAACAATGGGCCGGCCTGTGGCTCACTTGGGAGAGTGTGGTGCTGATAACACCAAGGCCATGGGTTTGGAACCCTATATAGGGATGGCCGGTTAGCTCACTTGGGAGAGCATGGTGCTGACAACACCAAGTCAAGGGCTGAGATCCCCTTACCGGTCATCTTTAAAAAAAACCACAGGAAACATACAACAATAAAAAATAATACAAATAAAAAACCAATACAGCAGAACAACTATTAGGTAGTATTTACACTGTATTAGGTATTTTTTTAAATCTACAGATGATTTAAAGTAAACGGGAGGATGTGCAGAGATATATGCATATATGCAAATACTATGCTGTTTTATATCAGAGACGAGCATCCGTGGATTTTGGTATCTACCAGGGAAGGGGTGGTTCCTGGAACCAATCCCTGCAGATACTGAGGGACGATTAGTCCTTTGTTACGTCAGCCCTAAGAGACTAATAAAGGGGATGGGGACAAATGGAAATACCCAGGTTCTCGGTGAACGTTGGCACTTGACAACATACCACAGGTTTGCCCTTTGAGGGCCCTGGAAGTCTCAGCACAAGGGAATCTGCTTGCACATCAAGAAATTTTACCCCCTTCCAGAGGGGCGTGTGAGCAGGCAGTACTACAGTGCGCAGCCTCTGCCTTCCGGGAAAACAAGCCAGGCCCAGGCAGCAGGTGGGCATGGGCCCAGGGCCGAAAAGAGGTTTGTTTGGACACTCAAGTGGCCAGACCAGCTGGACTCCCAGCCAAGCAAGCGCCTTCCAGGAAATCAACCCTGGACACGTGGGCCAGATGCCCCAGCCGTACTGGCTGCCTCCCCTTGGGGCAGAAAACCTAGGGCCAAGGAAGAAACAAGACTCCCAGGCAGTGTGGCATCAGCCCCCCGGCCTCACAGCTCAGAGCAGCAGGGCCTCGTCCTACCGGAACAGCAGCAGCTATTACTCTCCATGGCTCCACAGTGTGCAGAGCACCTGGGAGCAGGGCCTCGTCCTACCGGAACAGCAGCAGCTATTACTCTCCATGGCTCCACAGTGTGCAGAGCACCTGGGAGCTGAGCACCTCCACACACAGTGTCAACTCACTGCATCAACACAACCACTCTGCCGGGTAGCACTGCTGTCACACTCGTTTTACAGATGGGGAGACTGAGGCCCCCAGAGGGAACCGGCCATGGTGACAGCGGTTGGTCAACAAGCCAGGACTTAAACCCAGGCAGTCTGAGCTGGCCCTTTTCTTCTTTCTTCCTTTCTTTCTTTTCTTTGGAATTGAGATATAATTCACATACCATAAAATTTGCCCTTTTAAAGTATACAATTCAGTGATTCTTACTATATTCACAGAGTTGTGCAACCGTCATCATTACCTAATTCCAGAACATTCTCAACACTCCACAAAGAAACTCTGTACCCATTAGCAGTAACTCCCCATACCCCCCAGCCCCAATGGATCTACTTTCTGTCTCTATGGATTTTCCCAGACATGGATTTTCCTACTCTGGAACTTTCATATCAATGGAATCCTACAGTATGTGTCCTTTGTGCCTGGCTTCTTTCACTCAGCATAACGTTTGCAAGGTTCATCCTTGCTGTAGCTTATATTGGTCTTTCACTCCTTTCTACGGCTGACTAATATTCCATTGTATGGATATGTCACACTGGGCTCTTTCTTAATTATTACTACGTTATAAGGCCTATTCCAGCAGCCACTAATGGATACAAGGGGGTCTTCAAAAGTTCACGAAGGAACTGTATTATTTTTTAATTCAATTTTTCCACGAACGTTCTGCAGTACCCTTGCATTTGTTGGACAAATGCTGGGTGGACAGGACTGCCATTTCCCATGAGAAATAGACTTACCTTCTCTATCCTAGACCTTATCTCCCCAAATGCTGCAGAAGCAGGGGAGACCCGGGATCCCTCTGGATCCCTCTCTCCTGGCCCCTCCTCATGCCCTGCACGCACAGACACCACCACACCCTGGTACCTGTAGTGAAGGACAAATCGACATGCCACAGCACCCAGGAGCAGGATTATGGTCAGGTAGAGTTTGAATTTCTCGTACTCATCCTTGTAAGCAAACCTGTCATGACAGACACCCGCAGGAAAGGTCACATAACACTGCTATTCCACCCATCCCCATCTGGGGGCGAGATCCTCAGCCCCATCAGACCCTTGCTCTACCGCCACTCCCACGCCCCACAAAGACCTTCCCATTTGGCTAAAGGAGAGAAGCCTGGCCTTAAATTAATGAGGCTCAATTAGGGAAAGAGGGCTAACCGTTCAAAAGGTCCCTGTGTCCCTGGACTCCTGGTTTAGGGCTCTAGGCCTGTGCTGGGGATAGCAGGGGGCAGACACAGGGTCTCCTCCTCAACCAAGTGCTGCAGCAGTAATACCCAAGTTTGATTTCTCCTGGAAATGGACAGATTCTGGGTGGATTAAGGCGTGGAACAGAGCAAGGGCCATTTCTTGTGGGAAGTGGGTGGTCCTATCTGCCCAACATATTGCCTCTGTGAAAGAAAGGGAGGAATCTCTCCCAAGTGGTCTATCCACTGAGGAGGACAGCGTCAGGAAGCACTAAAACCAGAGCCCCAACTCTTAATGCTTTTGGATTTATGCAGAAATTCCACCTTGGACCCATCCTCCCTGAGGAGAAAGAGCAAAATGCCTGAATTCCTCTGAGCCAGGTAGGGGTCTGGGCATACTCACTTGGCCTGGTTGCTGAGGAGGGTCACATTCACATTGCCCAGGACCAGGTTCAAGTACAGCCTGGAAGGAAACACCTGTGAGAGCCAAGTTCCTTTACAGCCCTGGGAGTGGTCCCACCCAAAGATATTCAAACTTAATAGGCATGGGCTGAGTACCCCATGTCAGAAGACAGGATGCTGAGCCCAGAGGTTAGGAGGGCCCCACATCGACAGGATGACAACTAACTGTAGAACGTGGCAGCTGTGATACATGTTTTTTTTTTTTTTGTCTTTTTTGTCTTTTTCCGTGTCCGGCAACGGATCGCAACCCTCAGTGTTGCCCCCGTACCGGACCAGGGACCGGCAACGGGATTGCAACCCTCGGTGTTGCTCCCGCGCCTCGCTCAGCCAGTGAGCGGGAACCGGTCTGTATGTGGGATCCGAACCCTCGGGCGGGAGCGCCGCCGCGCTTCCCAAGCGGCGCACTTATCCAGTGCACCACCGGGCCGGCCCATGTGACACATGTTTGACTAGCCCTTTTCCCCATCAAGGCTGGCTTAGAGACCTCATTTCCCAGGCTCCCTTGCAGCCATATGTAAGCACATGACTAAATTCCAGCCAATGAGGTGACGGCATGTGTTTCTCTAGGTCAACTTAAAAAGGATTCTCTTTAACGTGAAGGCATAGGGCTGGCCAGTTAGCTCAGCTGATTAGAGCATGGTGCTGATAACACCAAGGTCCAGTGTTCAATCCCTATACTGGCCAGCTGCCAAATTTACAAATTAAACAAAATAAAGGCATAACCCTCATAAGTGCACATATCTTAAGTGTACAATATGATAAATTTTTACATTTTTATACATGTAACCAACACCCAGATCAAAGAATAAACATTACCTGCCCCCAAGAGGCTCCCTCACGGCCCCCACCAAGTCAGTAGCACCACCAAGCGTGCCACTGTTGTGTTTTCTATTACCATGGATTCATTTTGCCTATTTGTGAATTTCAAATAAATGTACACAGTGTGTAATATTTTATGCCTGGCTTCTTTCCCTCAATATTATGTGGGATTCACCCATGTCGTGCACGCATCAGTAGTTCCTTCTTTTTCATGGTGTGTACTATTACATTCAGTGGATACAACACAATGTATTGTTCCTCCTACTACTGATGAACATTTGGCTTCTTTTCAGTTTTTATTTTTTGGTTGTTGCTCTTTCATGCATGGTAACAGTACCGAAAATCTACCCTCTTAGCAAATTTCCAGTATATACAATATACAATATTATTAATTATAGTCTTCATGCTACACATTAGGTCTCTAGGCTTATTCATCCAACATAACTACAACTTCGTACCCTTTGACCTATATCCCCCCATTTCTCCTGCACCCTTGCCCCTGGTAACCACTGTTTTACTCTCTGTTTCTATGTATTCATTTTTTGTTGGGTTTTTCTTTTTTTTTGGCAGCTGGCTAATATATAGGGATCAAATCCTAGACCTTGGTATTATTAACACCACGCTCTAACCAATTGAGCTAACCAGCCAGCCCTGATTTTTTTTTTTTTTTTTTTAAGATCCCACATACAAGTGAGATCATGCAGTATTTTTCTTTCTGTGTCTGGCTTATTTCACATAGCATAATGTCCTCCAGGTTCATCCATGTGTTTTCAGTTTTTGGCTATTATAAATAAAGCTCTGTGAACATTCTTTTTTTTTTTTTTTAAATTGAGATATAATTCACATACCATAAAATTCACCCTTTAAAGTATGCAATTTAATGGTTTCTAATAAATTTACAGTGTTGTGCAACCATCACCATTACCTAATTCCAGAATATTCTCATCATCCCAAAAGCAAATTAGCAGTCACTTCCCATTCCCCCCTCCCCTCTGCCCCTGACAACCCCTACTCTACTTTCTGTGTCTATGGATTTGCCTATTCTGGACATTTCATATAAATAGAATCACACACTACGTGGCCTTTTGTGTCTGGCTTTTTTGCCGTGAACATTCTTGCACACATTTTTGGGAGGACATAGCACTCATTTCCATTGGCTGCATACCCAGGAGTGCTGGAGTATCTGTGTCACAGTGCATTGTGTGTTTAGCTTCATTAGGAAATGGCAAACATTTCTGTAAAAGGGGATTTACTTGCCCTCCACTGCCTGACTCTCTTTTCACCTTCCTGAGAACGTGATCATGAAAGCCAGCTTGGGCCACGCAGATGAGGACAAATCCCTACGGGATGGATAGGCAGTGAGTTGGAGGGACCCTGAGTCCCTAGATGACCTCATGAGCCCACCACTCTCGGCCCACTCTCCTCTGGACTGTTATGGGTGAGACAGAGACCTCTCTTGTCTGAGCCACTGTGTCACTGGGCCTCTGTTACAATAGCTTGTACTCTAACACACTCACAAAGGTGCCAATGAAGGGTTACGGGACCTCAGGGGAGGAAGGGTAAATTCCACAGAGGGAGAAGAGTTTGGAAAGGCTCCACGGAGGTGGTAACGTTTGGACTGGGCTTTGAAGGATGAGTAGAAGTTTGAGAGGAGGAAAGAGAACAGAAGCAACTTCTTTCTCGATGTGCGTGGATGTTGGGGCATTTCCAGTCTTGAAGCAGAGCTGTGAAGAGAGCATCTATTTTTCGTGCCTAGCACACAGTCCCCACCCCGTGAAAGGACAACACAATTTCCCTTCAGAGAATCCCCCAGGCCCTATGCACATGACCCAGGCTCAGCCAATCAAAGCAGCCATCCTCCTGATGGGGTTAAGAGTGGTCATGTGACACAATCTAGAGAGAGGAAAATCGATGAGAATCAGCCCTGGGACTTTACCCAGAACTACAAAGGAACAGACTTTCTCTACTAGAATTGCCAAGCAGGTAGCATGCAAGCCCAGGGCTGCTGGGGGCCAGTTTATGCAGAGAGCCTGTTTAAGAATGAAATACACAAACCAGAAAAAAGAGTAAAAAGAAAGCTAAATGAGAGAAAGGACCTAACTGTATCATTTGAGCAGAAGGATCCAGCCATACCTGAAGTTATCTGTAACTAGTTACATGAGTTACTACTAAAAACTGTTCATGTTTTTAATTACATGAGCCAATAAATTCCCTATTTTTTCTTAAGCAATTTTTTTTTTTTTTTGTCCTTTTTTGAGACCGGCCGCACCACGCTCAGCCAGTGAGTGCTGTGAGTGCACTGGTCATCCCTATATAGGATCCGAACCTGCGGCGGGAGCGCTGCTGCGCCCCCAGCGCTGCACTCTCCCGAGTGCACCACGGGCTCAGCCCTGCAATTTTTTTTTTTTTTTTTTAAAACAACTGGTAAGGGGATCTTAACCCTTGTCTTGGTGTTGTCAGCACCACGCTCTCCCAAATGAGCCACAGGCCAGCCCTTCTTTCTTTCTTTTTTTTTTTTTTAAAACAACTGGTAAGGGGATCTTAACCCTTGTCTTGGTGTTGTCAGCACCACGCTCTCCCAAATG